AATATCTTCACTGCAGATTTATTTTGATTAGTGTTCACATAGTATATCTTTTTCCATCATTTTCTTTCAACCTAGTTGTATCATTATAATTGTTCATTGAAGCATTGCATGAGGATTGGTTAAATTCCTTGTCAGATAGATTTAACAACTGTGTCATCTCAATGTTTACGTCTTTTGATTGTCTTTTCTCATTCAAATTGAGTTATTGCTATGATGAGTGATTTTCTATTTAAACCTGGACATTTGGGGTATTTTGTACCGAACAACATCTTATTTAAATCTTGTGTTTTAGTAGGCTTCCTTGACACTGTTCTGGTGAGTGAATGGGGGCATTGCCTTATTAATGCTAGGTGGGAGTGAAAACTGAGGTTCTTCACTTGGCCTCTGTTGATACCCAGCATGCGAGAGGGACTCCTTGTTACTGCTGCTTAGGGTTGGGAGTTCAGGCTGCCCACTAAGCTTCTGCCGATACCTCTCTGGCTGGGAGGGGCCGAAGTACCTTGTTACTGCTCCTTACATGACCTCCACTGACACAGTGAAATTGTGGCCTTGTTACTGTTAAGTGGTAGTGATAGTCCTGACTATCCACAGGCCTCCTCTGACACTATCCTAGTGGGGAAATAGAGGGAAGTGGTTCCCCACATGATTGCAACTGATACCACTGTGAGGGTGGAAGTAGTGGACTCCTTAGCCTGAGAATTGGTAAAACTTCCGACTTTCCACTATGTCTCCTCTGACACCACCATGGTCATGAGGGGGGAGGACTCTTCATTACCATCCACTGAGAATGGAGGTCCAGGCTCCTTTTGTGATCTCCATAACATCTGGTGGAATGGAACTAGTTACTAGTCCTTCCTCCTCATTCACCTTTCTCTGACACCATGCCTGCACTGTGTGTGTGGGGAAATCTAGGCTCTCTATTTGGCCTTTGCTAGGGCTAGGCAGCGGTTTTGTTTTTTTTTTAATTGCCCATCATATTATGGTACATATTCTGTGGGTGCTTAAAAATAATGTATATTCTGCTGTTATTGAGTAGAGTTTTCTATCAATATTGATTATGTCTGTTAGTTGATGTTATTGTTGAGTTTTTCTGTATCCTTGCTGGTTTTCTGTTTTTTTCTGGGATAGGCAGAAGTGCCTTGTTACTCTATGGTGTTTGGCAGTTATTGCCTAAAAGTTTTCTGTCTTGCTTGCATGACCCTGTCCTGGTCATTGGTGTTCCTGGGTCGCCGGCTTCTCCAGTATTCAGTCTGGAATATATGAGGCAAAAAGAAAACCCAGGAAACAACTGCTGTGTTATTCTTCAGGTTTTGAGGTCTCTAGTCATTCTGCCTCTTCTCTCCAACTGTCAGAGTTTTCTTATTTTTTTTTTTATATATAATTTACAGGATTTTTTTGCTGTACTTTGTGGAAAGAAAAAAGAAAATTACATTTACTTCATCTTTTTGGAAGCAGAAGTCCCCCACATGACTTTAAACAATACTTTCACTACATGTCCTAAGACTAAAATTAAAAAAAAACAACTCAAATACTGAAATCTAGGTAATAGTTTTGTTGTTTTTGTTTTTTTTTTTTTTGTTCGAAAAGCATGGGTTAACAATTCTGAACAACTTTCTGTGTAGTCTAGCATTGAGTATATATATCTATATCTATCTATCTATATATGTAAAATACGAACCCTGGTGGCACAGTGGTTAAGAGCTCAGCTGATAACCAAAAGTTCAGCATTTCGAATCCACCAGCAGCCCCTTGGAAATCCTATGAGGCAGTTCTACTCTGTCCTATAGGGTTGCTATAGTTGGGATCAACTCTACAGCAATGAGCTTTTTAGTTTTTATATAATAAATAATGAGAGTCAGATTTCTCACTGTCAGAGAAGGGGGCTACAAATATAGAAAGACAGAAAGTTGATATGAATATTATATTGGACTGAATTGATGGGAACAATATGAACTTATGGTTTTTAATAGAGATATAAAATAGCTATAGATATGTAGGGTTTTATAAATATTATCTATTGAAAGAAACTTGTGCTCCTTGAAGAAATGCAAAGAGATTTTGCACATGTAATTAAGGTCCCAAATCAGTTGACTTTAAAATAGGGATGGACTGACACAATAGCCACAACATTGGATTCAAGCATACAAACAATCATTAAGATGGCACAGGACTGGGCAATTTGTTCTGTTATACATAAGGTTGCCATGAGTTGGAGCTGACTTGACAGCAACTAATAACAACAAACCTGGGTGATCCTGACCTTATCAGGTGAGACCTTAAAAGGGACAGGACTCTTCCGGGCAAGAGATATTTGAAGCATAAGATGCATGGAGATTCTCGATTACTGGCTTTGAAGATGAAGAGGGCTATGTGGCAAAGAATGTGGGTGGCCTCTAGGACTTAAGTGAATCCTCCAGCTGGTAGCCAGAAAGGAAACTGGGATCTCAGTCTTACAGCTGCAAGGACCTAAGTTCTGTCAGCAACCTGTATGATTTTGGATACATATTCTTCCCCAGAGGCTCCACCTTGATTTTGGTCTTGCCTGAGCAGAGAACCTAGTCAAGCCATACTCGGAGTTCTGACCTACAACTATGAGATAATAAATGGCTGCTGTTTTAGCCACTCAGTTTGTGGTAATTTGTTATACAGTAATAGAAAACTAATACACAGTCTATGAAAGTAGATGAGTAAAATACAGTATTTGACAAAAACAATTAGTGCTTACTGAATTTCCATATACTCCCCTACATTTCCCAACCACCTTTGCAGTTTTGGTGGGGTCATGTGACTATTTCTGGCCAATGGCTAGAAGTGCTGTGTAAACTTCCAGGACAAGACACCTAACACCCTTTATATATTCAAAATAATGTGTGGTCAGCAGAGTTCTGGGGAGGTTCCCTTGATGGGTAGTTGGATGTTCTGGTGGAGGTGGGACTTGTGGAACTAGGAGGAGAACAGGGAAGGTGTGGGATGGCCTCTAAATGAGGGGTCTGGCCCCAACTTTCTCTATCAGAGCACCACACTGCAGAAGAGCTCACACGCAGTAGGATTTGATTTTAATAGGTTTGGTTGGGTGGGGAGTGGGGCAGGTGAAGGACATGGAAGGCTGTAGTGGGAGGCGCAATGGGGACCAGAAGTATAGGTTGAGGCCAGATTAAAGAATGGCCTCAAAGACCAGACTGGGCAGTTAGACTCTCTCCTGGAGCATTAGTTAGCCATGAAAAGTTTGTGAGAAGGGAAGGGACCAAATCAGATCTGTTCTGGGGTGTGAACAGAAAAGAATGGCGTACTGAAGCCTGAAGTACAGTGCAATCCACCAGGATGGAGCTAACGGGCTTCAACAGCATTGGGCATCCTCTGGCAGCCTCAGGCCTCATTGATGCCTCCCTCCTCCTTCTTCAGGCTAGAACGCCCTTGTCCACACCTCTGGTGTTGCCTTAACCACATTGTCCTGTTAATAAATTTTACCTGGGACTGATTATTCCAAGGCAGTGGCCTCAGGTCTCTTCTACCACTCCGGCACCTAACATAGTTTGGAAGATCCAGAGCTCCATCAATATTATAAAGATTGCTGTCTCACACACCACAAGAATTGGGAGAGGCCCCAGAGATCATCTGTATCATCTCCAGCCCCATTTACAAATGAATAACTGAGGCCCAGGGAACTCAGAGACTGTTAGGAGCAGAGTTGGGAGGACAGCTTCATTTGTTGCCTCTAAGATCCTTCCCACACACCCCACAGCTAGTCTAAATTCCTCCCCTACAAGTCAGTCAAAATCTGCACAGTGTGGAGCTGTGCGTGTGGGGGTCAGAGATAGCACCTCAGGGAAAACCTGTGCTTACCTTGGAGACTTACGGATGGGGTTGTTCTTTTCTGAGGCTGCAAAGTGGAGTCCATCTACCTGAATGTGGAAGCAGTGAGCACACATCGGGAGAAGCTTGAAGTAGGTGGGAGACTCTGTGGCCTAGGCTGGCTGTGGACACAGCACACAGTAAAAGTCCCTCCTCCACAGGAAAGCCCCCCAAACTCCACAGATCCTGGGAGTTTTGTACTAACAGGTAGACTAACCTACAGAAATGCAGGAATAGCAGCCTAGACCTGAGGCACCATAGAGATGCAGGCCTAGAACTCTTGTTAGTTGCCCTCAAGTCGATTCTGACTCATGGTGACCCAATATGTACAGAGTAGAACTGCTCCATAGTGTTTTCAAGGCTGTGACCTTTCAGAAGCCAATCACCAGGCCTGTCTTCCGAGGTGCCTCTGAGTGGGTTAGAACTATCAACCTTCTGGCTAGTAGTTGAGTGCTTAAATCATTTCTCCATCCAGGGACTCCCCAGCCAAAAAAGGCCTCAGGCTGATATTCTCCCCAGGCCCATCTGAAGGCAGGGTCTGGCTGAAGGAACAGAACATAGCAGTGAGGATAAGAGGCAGCAGAGGGGCTGGGGCCCTGCATTTCTATCCCCTTCACATTAATCCTGGGCTCTTTTTGCAGAAAGTGGACACCACCAGGGAACCCAAGGAAGTTCTGGACACTGTCCCTGTCCACTACTGAGCCCTTCCCAGGACCTTTGCTCTTTTTTATTCTATCACAAAGAGTTCCTACCTTTGCCCTCGCCCACATGCCTACCTAGATCTGAGGAAGAATTAGGTCTTATTTCATCTTCAGGGAGAGGGCCATTTCCATCAAAGACTTCAGCAGCTTAAACCTGGTCCCTGGTTAGTCACGGCCAAAAGGCCACCTAAGCTCTACCTAAGGCAACAAAGGCTCCTCTGTCTCCTTGCAAGAGGGGAGAAATCATTGTGAGGCCTCCTTCATTGTCCATAAGACCCTGTCTCTGTGATACGGCCCTGGTCTGGTGGAGGTGGGGGGATTGTGAGGGCCTGCCACTATCCTGGAGTTATTTCACTTTCCACATGGATGATCCAACTAACACCTTGGCCTCCCAGACCATTGATCTCTCATCTCCAGGGACCATCATCTTCTCTACCCTTCAACCACCCAACATGGTCCGTGTTGTCACCTGGATTTCTACCTTTTGTCTTGTTAAATACAATTTTCTGACCACCTACACCCTCCCTCTCAATGTCTACCTCTCAATTATTCTACCTCTCTCAATGTCACTCCAGAGCACCTAGCAGCATATCTATTACATATTAGGTATTTGAGTGATATTTATTGAATAAATTATACTAGTTCTTTTACCTCACTGACACATATGTTCTTTGACCCCTCCTTTGTTTCTCAATCCATTAACATTTCCGCTGGTTGGAAGCTGATCTTGCCTTTAGGCTAGACCAAGGCCCTGTCCTGTCTCTCCCAGTTAAGCAAGTTGCCCTCTCCCTGAACATAGAATAAAAGGGAGCACATCTAACCCACTTTGCAATTTCAATGTTTATTGCTGATACGAAAACTTGACAGCACACAGGAAAAAAAAAGCAATAGACAAGGAACAGCAAATATTTTCTCTTGCATGCCACTTTCAGTCAACAGGGTGTGGCTCTCTAGATAGCTGTGTTTAGAAGGAATCTGAGGCTTCAGCCTCACTCAGGGGAAAGACTATTGCAACTGATTAGCAATATCTGTGAACATAAGAAAAAGTAAAAAGATCAATAATACCTGTCAAATAGTAAGGAATATAAATACCAAATAGTGCTTCCCTCTACTTCCCTCATTTCCCCACCATGGGTTTTGTATGACTCCCAGCTCATGCACATAAATACATCCCCCAAGGACACTAACTGCCCAATCCAAAGTGATGTACCTACCTAACATCTCACTCAACCCAGAAGAAACCAATGGCACCAAAGTTGGCAGCGAAGTTGGCACTGGCTGCACCACCAGGGCCAATAATGGGGCCGGCGAAGGTTTGGGGAAATCTGGAGCGGGCATTCTGGTGGTATCTGGCCCAGAAAGTAAATGGAATTCTGGACCAGGGATCTCCAAAATCTCCTTCCTCATCCCAGGTCAGCAGCTCAAACTCAATATCATCCCAGCTCCAGGGCCCAGACACGGCTTCATCTCCAATCCCCATGCGGGTTCTCGCCTCAGCCCGGGTTTCAGCCTCAGCCGCAGCAGCATCCAGAGCATCCAAGGCTTCATCTGCGGCCTCCATGAACTGTGCAGTCCAGTCGCGAGGGTCTCTCTTTTGAACCTGAGATGAAGAACAGAAAACAAAACAAAACCCGAATGTCCCATAGGGTTTCCACGGAGCAGTAGGTGGATTCAAACTGCTGACCTTTTGGTTAGCAGATGTAGCTCTTAACCCCTGCACCACCAGGGCTCCAATAATATATTAGTTAACATATATTAAGCACCTACTACATATTAACCACCATACGTTGTGCTGTTGTTTACATAATAACAGCAACACATAACACCAGTAATGAGGCAAATGCAATGTGTCATATCTAGGATCTCATCCCTGCTCTGGGCCTTTCCCAGTCAATGTCAACCATGGATCAATTTCTCCATTACCTCTGCAATGAATCTCAGCACTTTCATCTTGCTAGTTTCATGGTAGGAACGAAGACCCCAGAGGAACTCATACTCAGGGGGATTGCTGTCGGGCACTCGTCTGTAGTCCAGGTACCTTAGAAAGAGAAAAAAAAAAGTCTTTGTGTCTATCCAGGCAGAACTATAGTCCACCATTGCATAATAACCTTATATTCAGAAACCCCAGATTTCAGGTAGCAACTCCCCCTCCAGACTCACTCCTAAACTCAATCAGGATATCTACCCTCTAATAACCAGACCTTCAAATTATGGTGCCATTGCTTCTACACTAAGCAGTCATTTAGGGCTGCAGGGAAGGCTTGTGTAGGGTGCTGGGTCATAAAAAGGACAACACTTAATCTCACCCCAGTCACAGCCCCAGCATGTGGTTCTTATAATCTTGTCAGTGTGCCACAGACAGGCTCATCACAAATCACACTGCACTGCAAAAGTCTTGGCTTGGCCCAGCCTTGGGAGGGTCTACCCTGAGGATGCTGGACAGACTTCACCTCTAAGACAACTATACTGTAGAAAAACTCAACCATAGGAATTTCAGTACATTTCATTTCAATAAATACTCCTGAGTACATATGTTTCTGAGTATATATGTGCATGGTGAGTTAGTGTAACAAGCTTGAATGGACTTTCTGGAGCAGACTAGCACACAGAGCTCATGAGGACCAGACAAAACCTTTTAAACATCACTTACTTCTGCTTTACAAATTCATAAGTGAGAAGCTTCCTGAGATCTCCAAGGAGGGGATGTCTGACCCTGATAGTTTAAAAAAAAAAAAAAAAAAGAAACCTATAATCAGAGACTACGACAGTGTCCAAATGTGAGCAGAGTCATTTCCAAGCATGGAAGAGCTTTTCAGCACAGAGGTCAGAAAAGAGAGAAGATGCAGAAAATTCAGGACTGTCTCCCCATCCACCCAGGTCAGACCTCTGGTATCTGTACCTCCTCACCCCCCACCACCAGACCACCAGGTTGATGCAATCCTGGGACCATCCTCTGCTGCCAAAGGATGATACAAAGAGGCAAGAGCTAATAGTGCCCAGTCATACCCAGGACGCAGTCCCATTTTGCGTAGTGCCTCCCAGAGGACAGCTGCAATGGGAGGCAAGGGGAGACAAGGGACAGAAAATGAGCACATGGAAATCAGGCCGTGGCCAACCCCCAGCTGCAGGTCCAGTCACTCACCCTCGCTGGCACGGTTGCCATTCATGAAGATAACACCCAGAATTACCAAGAGGAGACCCAGCTTGGGTGTGTCTTTGGTCCTAAAACAATAAAAAAAAGAGCATATTTTCAGCAGCCATTTGCATGAGAGACCCCAGCCAGCTCACCCATCTAGGCTCTCTAATATTCCTTGGCAAGGGGAGAATTATACCCTGGCTCTGCACATGACTTATTATATGACCCTGAACCTTGGACCTTGACCTACTTGAAACTCCCAGAAAAAAAGCACCACTGAGAAAGGCAATGTTCCACCTCCTTTTTCCCATCTTACGTTCCCAGTATGCCAGCCAGGGACTCCGGGGTACTGATAAGAATATACAGGTGTTCTTCCTTGTCAATTTCCTTCAGCTGGATCCCAAATTTCTACAGGAGGGAGAAAAAAGACAATGAAATTAAAAATCTAGCATAAGCTACCCATAGGCAGTCACTCACCTCCCTGTGAGACTTGCCCTAAACTCCCAGATGGAACCCCATGAATCTTTGAAATCAAGACTTTTGCCATCATTCTTGTCCCTCAGGGCTGCTTTCTCACCTTCTCCAAGACAAAGCACGCACGTTCAATGATTTCTGGATAAACATCAGTGTATTCACGGATGATATCCCTCAGCATTTCTGTAGGAGAGAGGAGGGAGCATCTCGGCTAAGCAGGGATCACATAGCTGCAGCCCCTTTGCCAGCCTTGCTGAGGGTAGCACAGCCGGGATTCTCAACTTTAGAAAGGGAAGAACCAGCCATGGAAGGAGGGAATAAATATGAATGGAACATATAAGCAAAGGGATGTCCAGAACATGGGATGAGGGAGAGGGCAGAGCTCAGGGAGGGGACACTGATGCCTACCTGAACGCTTGATGGGCACCTTTGTGTAGTCTTTAAGCATAAGGTACTTAACCAACTTATTTGCCTAGGAAGGGAGAAAGAAATCATTATCGTTATGAGATTTTTTGCAGAAAACTTCGATGATAGATGAGAAAACAGCAAAGAAAAGAACTAGAGGGGAAAAGTGACTGGAGAGTTATAGCTCTTACTCTTTCCTGAAGAAGGGCCACATCTCGGGGCTGCGAGGCACCCGGGTTCTGTGAGGCACGTGAGATGGGGGAGGGGCGCAGGTTTGGCGAAGGTCGAAGATTTTGCCAGTCAGGTGGAACTGGCCAGTCAGTAGGGATCCAGTCATGTGGGAGTGGCCAGTCAGTGGGAAGTGGCCAATCAGGCGGCAGTGGCCAGTCGGGCGGCAGTGGCCAGTCTGGAGGGCCTTGCCAGTCTGGAGATCCCTGCCAGCCTGGTGGGGTTTGCCATCCAGGTGAGGTCTGCCATCCAGGTGGATTCTGCCAGGCCAGTGGGTTTGGCCAGACAACTGGGCCAGGCCAAACAATGGGGTTAGGCCAGATCACCGGGTTCTGCCAGATCACTGGGTTCGGCCAGATCACTGGGTTCTGCCAAGCAACTGGGTTCTGCCAGGTTGGTGGAGTCTGCCTAGCTGGTGGGCTCTGACGTGCCGGTGGGGTCTGCCTGGCCGTCTGGTTCTGCCAGCCTGATGGGTTCTGCCAAGCCAATGGGGTCTGCCAGAGCATGCTGGGCGGTGCACCAGGTGGGTTCTGAGTGGTCACTGGAACTGGTGCAGACCTCCAGGTACCTGAAGTCAGTGGGGCCCGCCTCTGATCCCCATTGCTGTTTTCTTCCACATTCAAGTTATTAATCTGCATCATCAGAGAGAAAGAAGGTCAAGGTCACCAGATGGTTCTGTGTCCTCACCCGATCACTTCTGGGAAAGCCCCCTAAACCCTCACCTGTAGTGACAGCCTGACCTACTAGCCCCAGGCTTGCTTTCACTGTCTTCCAGGCAGGAGTTTATCTCCGAACCAGGCCAGGAACAACCCAAGGGTGGGGCCTGAGGCTTCTCCTCTTCCTATGTCCACCACTGGCTCTGCTTGTACCATCCTGGACAAGTCATATCACCTTTCTCGGACTCAGCTTCCTTCTCTGTAAAACTGGGACTATAATCCCTAGCTGATAAGAGTTACCTTCAAGATTTAATAAGATAATTTGTATAAATGTGGCTAGTTCTAGGCCTAACACATGTTAGCTACTATCAAAATATAAATGAAATTATATCCAGGTTATAAGTATTATGTGTCTGTGTCTTATCTCATAAGTCTGTGGACACTCTGAGGATAGGAACTATCACATTTATCTCAACGTCCCCTACAGTCTAACAGATTACAGGCAATTATATTTTTTGTTTATAACAAACGAACAATCACAAAGAAGAAAGGAGAGAGCCCAAAGTAAAGTGGAGCTAGCAGGGATCTCACCTTGCGGGTCCTCTTGCCCCGAATTATAGTCCGGGACTCCAGATTCTGAGCCTGGGAACCATCTGCTGATGCCTGTGCAGCTGCACCCTCAGGTTCAGAGATACCTGGGTCGGTCTCTATTGAAGCTTGGGAAGTAGCCATCTTGGCCTGGTTAACATTCTGGGTCTGGGTATCAGCTGTTGGGTCCTTGGTGGTATCATTCCAATCCTTGAAGACTGTCTGAGATCGGGAGGTGGTCATCTCACTGGCATTGGGAGACTGAGAGAAATTGTAGGTGGCATTTGGACCCACTGTAGTAGTGGCATTCTGGGCCTTAAAAACCATCTCAGATTTGTTGGTAGCTAACTCACTGGTGGTTGCTGCCTGGGAAAAATCATAGGCAGCATTTGGGCCCTTTGTGGTGGTATTCTGGGGCTTAAAGGTTGCCTTAGGCTGGGTGTTGGGCATCTCCTTGGCATTAAGAGCCTGAGAGAAATCATAGGCACCATTTGGGCCTTTTGTGGTGGCATTCTGAGCCTTAAGGGCTGTTTTAGGCCTAGTGGCAGCTGCTACAACCTGAATGTCAGCCATCTCTTTGGCAGTCGGAGGTTGTGAACTCTGGGGGCTTGCATTCAGCCCGCTGACAGCTGCTGTGGCCTGGTTGGTAGGTGGAGCCTCCGAGATCTGGATCGCCTCCATAAGGGTCTGCATAAGCAAGGCGCTGTCTTCCACAGAGGCTTCAGTCTGTAAATTCGGGGGGGTGGGGAATTAAATCTCTGGGCCTCTGAACAAGCAGGAGGGGGAGGGTGGGAGGAGCAGCACAGGGGAGGTGCAGGAGGCCAGCTGGTGCAAAAGGAGGAGAGCTGAGGTAGAGACCTAAGGAGCCTGAAAGGAGCAAAGGGAGGCAGAACCAGAACAAAACATGGTAGGGGCGGAGTAGGGCAGGGGCTGAACGAGGGATGGGGGCGGAATGAAGCAGCTTGAGCGGGGTGCGAATGAGAAGTGGGGTCAGAACCTAGCGGGTGCAGCCTGCATTAGGAGTAGCTCAGGGCACGAGATGGAGTGAGTTGAGGTGAATAAGGGGGGTCGCAGGGAGTGGGGAATGCAGGAGACAGGGGCGGTGGAGGCGGAGGGGGTCTTGGGAGAGAGGGAGGCAGACTGCTCTACAAGCATCAGGACTATGGAAAAAAATGTTTCCCTACCAAACTCGCATTCTCTGGGCAGACTGCCCTGACTACTAACAGGGTCTCCCCTATCTCTGAGCAGGGACTGATGGCTGAAAAGGGACGCCCCTCCCCCCTCCACTAACCGATGAAAATTGGAAAGTCGACAGAGTCTAGGCACGAAGGGGGCAAAATCAGATGCAGGTGTTTGGGTGGCCAAAGGGGCCCAGGGAGAACTGGCGGCTGGGGAAATGGTGGGTTAAGGAGCTGAGATCTCACCTGGAAGCCGAGGAGGCCTGCACCACAGTCCATTTTCTGAGCCATGGCTCCAGTCCCTCTGGCAAGAGTGGAGCCTGGGGGGGTGTGGGGGAGGAGCTGGGGGTTATACTGGAGAGGGCAATAGGAAGGTCTGAATTGAGGGAAAGGGTCTGTGGTTTGATTGTGGGGGCAGAGGAAGTGCCGAATATGAGGGGAATGGGCCAGATCCGGGCGGGAAAAGTGAACTGAGTGTCCAGATGGAAATACCGAGAAACTACTGAAGGGATTCTGGTGCAGATGAGAGTTTTGAATTCGGGTTCGCATCGGGATTTGGGAAGGTGAATGGAGGTTTCGAATTAGAGGGAATCGTATTACAGTAGAGATCGAGGTCGAGAAATCTGTGGAGATTTCGAGCGATGAGAGGGACTGGACAGGGTTTCAGACAGCGAACAGGGCTTCTGAGTCAGGGCAGATGGGGTGGGGAATGTGAATCGAGGTTTCAGGAGTGGAAGAGGGTTCAGAATCCAGGATAAGGGGATAAAAAATGGGGGGCCCGCACCAGGGGGCAGATGCCCTGTCTGGGGGCTAATTCTCACCTTGCCTCAGGCCCCAACCCCAACCCCCTCGTTGTCTCCCTTCTTCACGACTCAGAGGATCTGGATTGCAGTGCTCGGCTCTCAGCAGCCGCACCCTCTCCTTGTCCAGGAGAAAATGCCAGCGCGGCAGCTTGGGCGACCCCGCCTCTTCGCTTAATATACCACCCACCGCCTCAGATCTTTGTGCGCATGCGCAAACTCTGAACGACCAACTAGAGTCCCGCCCGCTTTTCCAACAAAAGCTTCATGCTGAAAATCAAGATGCGCATGTGCACTGGAAGGCAGTCCCGCCCCTTTGCCAACACACCACTCCACCACCAACCAGATCGACAGTATACAACGGTCCCTCCCCTTCCTCTACATCCCCTCCCCCAGCAGATGCGCAGTGCTTCTTGGCCCCACCCCTTGCCCCACACACCAGCCCCCTACCTTTTCCGCAATGCGTCTCTGTTCTGTCCCTCCCCTTTCAAGGCCCCCCCTCTCAGGTCGGCAGGAATCTCCACCCCCTTGCCCAGCAATCCTTAGGTCGCTATTAAGGAGGTCTTTGTGTGGGTGGGGTCTCTAATTGCAACAAGTGCTAGAACCCTGCTGACCTCAACTACTTTGGGAGCCAGAAAAAGGAATGGCCAGAGACGTTACACTACTGGGGGTAGCAGTTAAGTCTGCCTGCCACGTGACTCTACATGGTTTCCTTACCAGCTCCCAGACTAATACAGAGCATTAGCTTCTTCTCTGCCATTTGTGCAGTCCCAGCTGGATTTTTTGTGTGTGTGTGTGTGTGCAGCCCCAGCTGGATTCTGGGGTGGGGGTGGGGGTGGGGGGGCG